AAAAGAAGTTTTACTTGCCATATTTCTTGCTCCTGCAGGCTCCTCTCGACCAGCCCCCTAATATTTCTTGCTCCTGCAGGCTCCTCTCGACCAGCCCCCTAAAGTCGCTTCTCTTCAGTTCTCCTTTTGCCAGTTGCACTCTGATGTCATCATGTACAATGCAGGACTAGAAGTCGCACAGTGTAACTGGGGATGACAAGGGCGTGCTCACAACTCAGTGTCGTAGGGAAGAGGAGAGCGTAGAATGAGCAAGGGATATGGTATACCCTAGACAAAAACCAGCATTCAATCCTTGCAGTGCGGGGGTTCTCGCACCGCCAGGGTCATTTTACAGTTTCCTTAGAAGTCAGATTTAATATAAACTTTGCAGACACCAGTATATATTTTTATCTCAGGACCGGGGACATATATTCTGTCTCTGACATTCTGCTTACTATTCACAGTGATGCGTCCTCTATACTGTATTGGAGTATTGTGTAAGAATGGGACTTATATTCTTTCCATGACCTCATGATACACACGGGGTCTGTTTTAAAATTTAAAAAGGAATCTTCAGCTGTATTCTTATTTTAGCAACATAATCCATCAGTTTCCAGTTTGTTAGGTATTTTTTACTGGCTTTTTTTACACTTTATCACATCTTTTGGACGGGACTTCATTTAATTAAACGGCAGAATCTGGTGTGGTACAGTGAAAAGAAAAGCAGTTACCGTATTTGCCGGCGTATAAGGCGACTTTTTATACTTAAAAACATCCCCCGAAAATCAGGGGTCGTCTTATACGCCGGGTATACAATCTGTCAGCCCGCTGGATGTGCGGTAATACTGTATGTACGGTAGCTTCGGCTACATACAGTATACCGCACTTCTCACTACCCAGCGAGACGGATCATCCAAGCATCCAGCTCCGTGATCGCTCCCCCACGAACATTTACTACCGTGTCTACTGCCTATTGACAGCGCAGCAGCAGAGCGGCTTCTCCGACCTTCCTTCCACACAGCCGCCAGGGCTCAGCCTGGCCAGCTGAGTCCAACCAACACATCCAGTGCCTAGCCCGTTCCCAGCTAGGGCCGCCTGACGCTATCTCCAGCCAGTGGCTCCTCTCCCCGCGCTCCAGCCACTGGAGCCGATTTCCTTCATCGGCCGGCACTACCATCTATTCTTCCACAATCGATTACTTACTTACCTACCTACCACCTCCATCTAACACTGAGTCACCTTCTACTTTTTTTCATACATGCCTTCCATGAATTACACTCAATTTAACTTTTATCAATTATGCATTTATAATCAGTGGGGAGTAGCGCTTCTTTTCTTGGTCTTTGTTAAGTATACCGCGCTGAGCCAGCCACAGCAAGCGATGTACACAACCTCTGCCAATCCGAGCAGGCTTTGTATTTATTAATAGAATACATCGCTTGCCGTGATTGGCTCAGCGCGGTATACTGTATGTAGCCGAAGCTACCGTACATACAGTATTACCGCACATCCAGTGGGCTGACAAATTAGTGGGTGTATTTAAACATTATTTTGGGCTATACTCGTCTTATACCGTGAGTATAGCCCAAAACCTATGCTTTAACTGAAAAATTAGGGGGTCATCTTATACGCCCAGTCGCCTTATACGCCGGCAAATACGGTATTTCACCGATCCTTATAAATAGGCCCGCTGTATATTGTTTCAGATACTTTAGACATTTTTGTGCCTGCAGCTTCTAATGAATATATATATAGTCGGTTTATATTATGACAGTAGTAGTAATAATAATAATAATAATATATATGAAGAATAAAGCTATTTCTATGTTAACCTCCCTAAGCGCTTCCAATTTGCCTAACTTTTCTTAAGGTAGCCACACACAGCCACGTCTCCACTTCCATAGTATCGACAATATCTTCATGCTGTTTTGAGTGTTTAGTGGAGGATTGACGAAAATTTTCAGGAGCCAAGTTGTTCTTGGATTGTGTGAGGAATACATTCTATCTAGATACCCCTTTTTATAGCCAGTTTCCATAAGAAAAAATAAGGTGGAGCCATTTTCCCATTTCAGCTTTGAGTATATTGATTAACAATATACATTTATTTTTGTCCATTGAGGTATACAGGAATTCAGATACAGTTGTGTTATACTGCTGCCTTGGACACCAGCATACAGAGAAATTGTAGACCACCCAGGATTACCCATAAAATCCTTTTCTTGGACTCCATTGAGGGACGCAGCTCCCACCCTTCTGTATTTAAGATCTTGGTCTTGGTACTGCTTGCTACAAACTGAAGCAAACTGGGTAGAAGAGATTCATCCTGGTCTGGCCTACATTTTTTTTTTCCTTCTATTTTTCAGTGACCAATCTTCCTGTGGATGGCAATAAAACCATTTCAGGAATCTTTCTGAATTTGAGTCCCTTTATGTACTCCAAGAATAAATATTTTTTAGAAGGAGTCATCACACACCGTCCCTTGCTCAATTTCTCTGTAAATATACACAGGAACGCGCAGTCTATTCGGTGCTGTTAGTTCACTCCTTCAGATGTGTTTAGTACTTCAGAAAGGATTGATTTAATCCAAAGCCGTTGCAGAAGTGTAAAACTTTGTGAATATGTATTGAAGACATTGTTTCATAATAAACATGATAGATTATGTTCTTTACCAATGAGCATGGACCCAGTGGGGTCATACAGGGTTCTTCCAATTACCTTACTTATCTGGTTAATGAATGAAAGTGACTTTTTATATAAAGGGGGTGAAGTATATTGCTAAGTGTCAAGCTTTTAACTTTTTCTTTATTTTGAGAGCAGTTAAGCCTACCCCCAGTTAAAAAATACTTTTAATGTAAACTCAAAGCACTGCATAACAGGACAACATGGTGGTAGGGTCGGTTAGTAGAATGCTGGAAGCTGTAAATTATACGATGTATATTATCCAGGTACACACAAAGGTGACAGCTACAGAACCTCATTGCACCATTCCACTGTTTTGTAGATGAGGAGGTTTTGTTCTAATGACCAGTTAGTATTTTTTCCCAAAGTGTAAGTATTCTCTATCACCATAGGCAACTGATGCTGGGAGATGAGGGCGCCCCTTATGGCATAGTGCAGCCTTTGTATGGAACTCGCGATGTGTGGCATGTCCATCGATGACCCAACTTCTATAATGACCTATCACTAGAAAAAGCAATTCTGCTTTCAGCATAAGGCTGTTTTTGTAGTCTAGAAACAAATGTTATGTTCTTATGCAGAATATAAATTCTCCCATTAGTTGTGATTGAACTAACAAAGTCCCATCTTCATAATATAATAAAGGCAAACCATGTATTTGTACTCAGTCTTTATAATGACGATTGGCATTATCTCCCAGCACAAGGTGTAAACTGGTGACGTAAGTGACAGCGCTCCCATATGGCAAGCTGCCATTCCATGTAGATATGGCATAAAGGGGGATCGTGATCTCAGTCCTCAATGAAATGATTTCTTGCTGCGGTTTTCTTAACCCTTTACTTCTGTCTTACTTTTTTTCTCCACTCTCCTTTCGCTTCCTGGACACTCTGCTTTACCTGTTGGCCTTTGTGTTGTAAGCTACAGTGTGTGTGAGCCAGGCGACCTCCCGCTGTGTGAAGCCTACTGGAACTGCGACAGTCTGGACTCCTCGCCTCCGGATTTCTCTTCGCCATTGGTATCAGCGGAGACCACTTCCAGCAATAACCAAATTCACGCATCTCCTCACCTAAATGGCGGAGGCATGGCCGAGCACAGCTGAGTTATTGTTGACCGATTCTACATCCAGATTCATCAGCTGCAAGAACATAGTCACTAAAGACTCACAGCTGCCCCTTTCATTCCACAATCACGCGCAGGTAATGATATTCGACAGCCTCTTTAATCAGGCAGATGCAAAATCTGCTGATTGAGGTTGCTTGGTCGGGGAAAGGCGGTGGGTTTGGTGGTGAAGCCATGTTAGTAGACTTTCCATCTCCAGCAGTTTTCCTTACTGATAAAAACATACGTTTTTGTACTCTCGCAGCGAGAGCCTAAGTTAAGTGCAATCCCTTCAAAAAAATCACTTCCTGGTGGTGCTGCCTCTACAAAGGGAAGGAGGGCTTTTTTTTCTGAGCTGAGCCAGAACAATAAGTCACCATATTAGTAGCTCCACCATAGACTTTTGTCAGAAATGTTAAATATGGATGATGTAGGGCTGGATAATCAATCCTTTTGGGTCTCCTGGCATTTATGCCCCTTAATTTACCGGTCTACCATGATAAAGGGTTTGAGATGAGATTATTCATTGCTTGCCCCTGCATTGTTTTTGGCCTTGTACAATTTAACTTGTATGTGAAAAGTGTGTGCAGCAATCTTTTACAAAGCATTTGCAGTTGTTTTCAAACAGATTTAAGAAACTTTGGCAAAGCCTTTAGAGGTTAGTGCTAGCTCTCACTTTAAACAAGCTGCTAGCTGGCTTCATTAAGTTTCAGCACTTTCAAACTTGTTGAAAGCCTAATAGCAGCCTCTTATTAAGATTTATGTTTAAAGTTCAACTAAAGCTGGCCACTCACCTGTAGATTTTCTATAGGGTTTTTTTTCCCATCAGCCTATGGTCAGATGGAAAAAGTGCAGCAGATTCTTTCATCTACGCTAAACTGTGTGGATGGAGGAATCTCCCACTTGGCCAAGCTTCAGTATCTTGCTAGTTGGCCCTGCTGGCTGTCAAAATACCTGAACAATCTGATTGGATGCAGGCATTGTTCAGGTATTTTGAGAGCCAGCAGGGCTGAGTAGCAAGATTCTGAAGCTTGGCCCAGTGCGAGATTCCTCCGTCCACACAGTTTAGTGTAGATGGAGGAATCTGTAGCACTTTTTCCATCTCATCATAGGGTGATAGATTTTTTTTTTTCTATAGGTGTATGGCCAGCTTAAGGCCTAGTTCACACTGGGCACTCTGGCATTCCTGCAGCAGGACTGCCAGATGTCCTCATTTAGATGCTGCCACTGTACCCATTCAAGATAATGACAGGGTGACAGCAGAGACATCTGTAAGCAGCAGTTCAAATGTAATTGTACATTATACCGTTACACACGGTTTGGAATAGATCACTGTCCCTGGATGCAGGATAGATGTTTCCAGCAATAGTGATCTATTCTAAAATGCATGTAATCTTATCATATATACGATAACATGCGGACTGACCCTTACAGATGTGGCCGCTGTCACCCTGTCATTAACCTGAACGGGTACGGCAGCCATATCTAAATAGGGACAGCTGGCTTTCCTGCTGCAGGAACCCCAAATTGCCAAGTGTGAATGGGGTCTAAAGGCTCTTATATGACAATCTATAAAAGTACCAAATACCATTACAGTACTAGGTGGTGTATAAGCTTTTATAAAAACAAAATATCTTTTCTGTCTCTGACTGAGCCAAATCCTCTCATTTGTATCTCGCATGCTCTCCTTCCCAGACACTGGGGGAGTTTCAGCAACAGAGTCCGTGCTGCCAATCCAGAAAGCAGTGGGCGGGACTAGATGTGTCCAGGTGCTGAATGACAAGTTATAGGCCTGTGAATCAGCAGTTTAAATACGAATAGCCATGCCCCCTGCAACATTGTTTCATCCCACTGTAGTGTAAGCAGGCACAGCATACATGAGAGTGACAACTCGGCTCTGAATTCAGGAGCAGTGCAGCATCACAGGAAGCTGCATTAGGTCAACCTCAGTGACAGGTTCAGGTATTTGTGAGACTTTACAGGGGGACTAAGGGGGAAAAAAATAGTAATTAAAAAAAATATATATATATATATATATTTTTTTT